CATAGTTCAAAGGCATCAATTCTTCGGTCCTCTGCTTTCTTTACCAGCTTCTTTACCAGCTTTCACAACTGTATGTGACCACTGGGAAGACCATAGCCTTGACTATACATACGGACCTTTGTTGGCAGAGTATTGTCTCTGCTTTTCAACACACTGTCTAGGTTTGTCATAGTTTTCTTGCCAAGAAGCAAACGTCTTCTTTTTTATCCTATAATGATTTTTAACAGATTGTCCTTTTGGTACTTTTCAAAGTGGTTGCATTGATGAAAAATAATTCATTTTTGTTATCTAGCATAACAAACCAAGATCTTTCTGTCGATGCTTCTGTAAAAATCAGTCGTGCAGGCTCTTGAATAGTATAGAAATATGGAAAACAAGTGCCTGTAAATGAATACTCAGGCAGTATTGACTATGGTTGTTTTGGAAAATTGAGACATTCCTGGAAAGGGTGTAGAGAAGCTAACATTAAGTGCCTGCTGTGTGCCAACCAGACACTGTGCAGGACAATTATATATAATTTTTCTTAAAGTAGAGAAAATAAATGAGAGTCCTCAGAGCAACACGAAGAACATTTAAGGATGACATGAAAATAGGAATGGGGATATTTTACAAATAAACTCAAATGCAAAAGCTTAAATTACTTACCCAAGGTTATACAACTAGTAAGCGATGTTGGTAGGATTTTTTTTTTAGCTCCAAGGAAATAAAGCTATTTTCAGGTGGGAAGGAGAACAGAATTAGAGTAGCATGGATGCATTCAGTCTTGAAGTGTGGAGTACAGGTGAAATGCCGCTTGCCCTGATTTGGCCTCAGATCAGTCGAGACATATTGGCAGCTTTGGGGCACTGAGTTAATGTTCTCAGTTCTGGAGGCAGGAAGTCCAAAATTAAGGTGCCAGCTCTCTTCTTGGCTGGTGCATGGCTGTCTTCTTTCTGTGTCCTCACATGGCATTTCCTTTGTATGCATACAGAGAGAGGTCTCTGGTGTCTCTTTCCTCCTCTTCTAAGGACACCAGATCTATCTGATTAGGGTCCCACCCTTAGGACCTCATTTAACCTTAATTACCTGCTTACAAGCCCCAACTATAATATAAATACAGTCACTTTGGGGATTAGAGTTTCAGCATATAAGAGGGGGGGAGGTACAATTCAGCCCATAATCAGCATATTCTCTTCTTCTGTAAGTGTGTAGTTCTGTCCTTATGTAATTGAGTAATTATGGCATAAGAAATATATATTTGGTCTTTGTCCCAATTCCAGGCACAAAGCTCCCAAATCCCTTGTAGTTTTCCTGAGTGATGTAAGTGAAAGGAGCACCTTTTATTCTAATGAGGCAACTTTTGTTGGGCCCGTTGTTACCTCCAGAGTGGGGAGAAGTCACCAAAAAAACCTAGAGGTGATTAGAGGGTTTGAACTTTCAGCCTCGTCTCCCAACCTCTAGTAGGGAAGTGTGGGGCTAGAGGTTGGCAAAAGTTTTTCAAAAACTGTTTTTTAAACTCTGAATTTATTTTGTTTATAAAGAAGTAGACAAACTAAAATAACTTAGTCTCTTATGTTATTTCTTACAAAACAAAATTCCAGACTTTTTTTCTAGAGAATTTTTTGAGTAGGAAATGTCAGTGGACTGTTTTCTTTTTTAGCATATTGTGTAAGAACACATTATTTGCTCAAGTAAAAGTTCCTCTTGAAATGTCTTGTAAAACATCTTTGAGTGGTTGCATAATACCATTGTTATTAAGTAAGAACTTAAACAGACCCAAGTTGTTTTGAATAAAACTTTGTCTCTCAAAGGTGATACCATGGGAAAGAGTAAGACTGGGGAAATGAGTTATTGATATTTTGTAGGGGGAAAGGTTTTAGAGTTTTCCTTCATAACACATCAGCTCTTTTGTGCCTTCTTATATCTTTGCATCACAAATTAATTAGATGTTCTTTATTGTGATGTAGGTGAATGGCTGTTCATCTCGAAAATGAATTGCCTGCAGAATTTGGCTGAATATGAGTTTGCAGTTTTAAGTATTTACTGAACTTATATATGAATGGTTAGAAGATGGAAAATCTTTAACTTCCTGTTGAATGATTGGAAGATGGAAAATCTTTAACTTCTTTATTATATGGTTCATTTAATATATATTCAGTTAATTTTATTAACAAAACCAGAAAGTACGATTTGTGGAGTGGATTTGCATTTTGTAAACCTGTAGTGATGCTTTGATCATACAGATTTCACAAATTATCTTCATATTTTTTTAATTGCTTGTCTTTGAAATGATCATCACAGAGGTACGACTCAGGCTTACAGAATCAAGGCTCAGCTTCCGTGGCCGCTGTGCATGTACTGCCCTCTGAGCTCCCATACTTTATCCGGTACCTCTGTCTCCTTGTTGTCGGGGAGCTTGTGGTTTCCTCAGTTCTGTCTTGTCGCAACAAAAATTTGAAGCGACTGGACGGACCAGCATTACAGCCCTCAGACAGGCCAGTGTTACAGCTCAGTTTTATTTACAGAGCAAAGGAAAATACATCCTTGAGGCGTGAGGGCATGCCAACCCAAAAGACATGAAGAGAAGAGAGGCCCTGGCCCAATTTTGGCTCCTCTTTTTATGTTTTTTCTCCTCCTCCTAGGCCTTCCCTGTGTAAATTCAGACTAGCCTGGAGTGCTGTTTGTTTTACCTGAGGTCCTCACTCCAGTTTTCCGACCTTCCTTTGTTCTGTTTTCACAAGCTTTTCCCTTCTTTGTCTTTTAAGTAAAGTCGCTCAGTTGTTTCCGACTCTTTGCGACCCCATGGACTGTAGCTAACCAGGCTCCTCTGTCCTTGGGATTTTCCAGGTGAGGGTACTGGGGTGGGTTGCCATTCCCTTCTCCAGGGGATCTTCCTGACCCAGGGATCGAACCTGGGTCTCCAGCATTGCAGACAGATGCTTTACCATCTGAGCCACCAGGGAAGCCTTTAGCCACCGCCATTTTGGACTCCTTTTTCCTATTCTGACTACCTAACATTGTCATCATTGTTACTGGCATATATAGAGTGCCTATAAAAGATGAGGCAATATTAGTATTTTATGTACCTTATTTTATTTAATCCTCAGAGTACCCTTTGTGTTATCTCTGTTTTACAAATTAAAGAAACTGATATACAGAGAGATGTAAAAACTTGCCAAAGCTTAAAATAGATACTGGGAAGTTTGGATTTGAATCCAGTTCTGTTAGATTCCAAAACCTGTTTTCTTTCTGCTAAGCTATTTACTGTATATCTGTTTCATTGTTTTGTGTTATAATTGAAGTCTTGTGTTCATCTGGTTTCCCTACCAGACTGCTGGAGGATAAGAATCTTGTGTTATTCACATTTGTGTCTTCAGTGGCCATTACTGACCCCAGAACTTTTATACTGAGTGTTGAATGAAAAGCACTGATGTAACCTATGTGGTAGGTGTGAGGCCTGTGCTATGAAGTACTTTCTCTCACATAGACAGTTGCTAAGTTTACTGCTTCATATACCTCCCCGTTTGGTGTATTGCCATTTATGTTTATATGCATGCTAGCATGCCCAAATACACACTCCTTCATTGTCATCAATCCTGTGGACATGAGAATTTTTCTTCTCCTTTTGTAGATCCAAAGAATCAAGATCTATAAAAAAAATGAGACTTACTTAAAATCACACAACTAGTTAGTAGCAAATCTGGTGTGCAAATCCAGATTTTAGACTCACAGTCCTCTGCTTCAGGCTCTCCATCTGTGCTGAGGAAAACCTATGCTTTATTTCCTGATATGTTAATTTGTTTATTGAAAAATGAAGGCAACAAAAAAAGGTGTCCAGAAATGGATTGTGTCTAAAAGAAGAAACCTTCTGTTGGGGTAATGAATGTAGGCTTTTTCTTCAGCCTTTAGAGTCTTACATTTGTTTCCCTTTATGAAGCCTAAAGTATAGTTGGAATTTTAGTCAAGGGATAACCTAGTTCTAACTAACAAACTATAGGAAGATTGAACCCATGACTCCGTCATATTGTCATCAGCTGAGTCTAAATCTAGCAGGACTCACGGCACATGCAGAGGACTCAGCACTGAGACTTTGAAGTGATACACATTTTGAGTAGCAAGGTTTGCTTTACTGGCACCTGAAAGAGTGGCACAGGTAATCTGATGTTTTTGTGTAGAATGATTACGTCAGCACAGTTTATATGTTGTAAGATAGAGATTTTAAGTAAAAAATTTACATCTGTACTCGTAATATGAAGTGTGATATAACAAGTACACTTAAATATTTATTCACTCTCAGCTGCCTGAGGTCTCAGTTGGGGCCCACAGGCTCAGTAGTTAGGCAGGGCGCGTGGGACCTCAGTCCCTGACCAGGACCGGAACCATGTCCCCTGCATTGGAAGGCGGATTCCTAACCACCACACCACCAGGCAAGTCCCTAAAGAGTACATTCAACTTATCTTAAACATATAAAATTTTCACCTTCTTTGCCTATACTTTTTTTTTTCTTTCAGTGGAATTACTTGCTAAATATAATTAATCTTGGATCTGTTGTCAACATTTTTAACATGTTTGATAATGTAATCCTTTTTTTTTTTTAAGTAATGCCAAAGGACTGAAAGATTGGTAAAATTTGAGTAGATAGTGTGTATGGTATTAATGAATTAGAAAGACTTTAGACATAGGTTATCTGTTTGAAGGTGCTAGTATTTTATAACCTTCTGTGGACAAATCGCCTGCAAATTTTAATCTGGAAAAGCACTGGGATAGCTGTTTGAAAAAGGAGTGCAACAACATGTCTTTCGTATTTTTAATACTTCTATTAGACATTTATACAGATTATTAAATCTTGATTATAACAGAAAAAATTAAGGTGTCAGCACATTGAGATAGCATGTGGGGATTCCTACCATGCTGTTTTTGTATTCTGTATCATTCAGCCACAGAAGCAAAGCAGGAATATGTAACATAGCACTGGATTTTATTTTGTTTTATTAGCTCCTCAAGAGTTTTTGATCTATGAAATGGCAGAGAATGGAAAAAATTGTGACCAGAGACGTGTAACAATGAACAAGGAACAATATAATGGAAACTTCACAGGTAAAGGATGGTGGTTTGAAGGGAGAAGATCTGTGAGTTTAAATGATATCCTTTTCATTGGAATAAAATAGAAATATATCTAATATGTATTATCTTTTGTTAATAAAATAATATATAAAATACATAAAATTGTTATAAATCTTGTAAAAGATTATCTTTTGTTTCATCTTCATAGTAAATTAAATTGTAGATGTATAAGGGCCTATAAGGTGATTTTTCACAGTGATAGCAGAAGCAGCTTGGCCATAGTCACATCAGCAGTGTTCTAGATACAAAATTATTGCTTTTTAATCTTACGGTGTGGTAATATTTATTTGACTTTGTTTGCCATTCAGTTGTATCATGCTATTTTGTAACCTTAGAAATAGATTATAAATTTATTTATTCTGCTAATTGTAATTTTTATAATTATCCAAAAAGTCAGAATGTGGTTATTGTGGATTTCTTTTGAAACTTTAGTTTGAGACAAGTAAATTTGTATTTTAATTGAATTAGGTATTTGTGGTAAATTTCAGTATATATGACTCTTATTTATACATTTACCCTAAAAATTACAGTTATCATTTATACAGATGATTTAAGAACTTTCCTTTATGTGTTTAAAAGAAAGTGAAAGGTTTTCCTTTTCTGTTAATTGTAATGATTTTCTTTTTAACTTGATCATATGACCTCTCAAACACGTTGCAAATAATATCAGTATTTCAGCAGAGTAATAATTATATCATAGAAATCTTCTACTGGAAGGACTGCAAGCTTTCTGAAGTAGTAGTTCCCATCTGTTCATTTTGATCACTACATTGCTTTGCAGAATGTGTTTGCAGCACTTAACTGACTTTTGCGTTACTTTGGTTGTCAATACATTTTGTATCATTTCACCAGGAGTCTCAGGATTCAGAGATAGGCATTGCATGTGTCATAGTCTCGTCCCATTCGGAGCTTTTACATGTCATTTTTTCATTCCTTTCAGCAAGCACATACATTTGTATATTCTTCTACTATTGCCTACACCTTTGGAGTTGAAAATTAATGTGAGAATGACACAGTACTGTTCTGTTCCATGGTGTGCATTTGTTTGGGATTTTTAACTCACTATTTTCTAGAGATTGTACATGAAGAACTTGCTCTTTTTTTATTATTTGTTTGTTTTGGGCTGTACTAGGACTTCGCTGCTGCGTTCAGGCTTGCTCGTCATGGCGGTTCACAGGCTCCTTATTGCTGTGGCTTCTCTTGTTGTGGAGCACAGGCTCTAAAGCACAGGCTCAGTAGTTGGGGCCCACGTGCTTCATTGCTCCGCAGCATGTGGGATCTTCCCAGACCAGGGCTTGAACCGGAGTCCCTGCTTTGGCAGGTGGATTCTTATTCACTGAACCACCAGGGAAGTCCCAAGAACTCATTCTTTATTATGGCTGCCTAGTGTTCTATTGTTCAGGTATAACATATTTTAATCACTCCTCTGTCTTACTAAAGCAGATAACACCACACTGAGTAAACTTGTATGAAAGTCATTTCTCCTTACACCTAATCGTTCTCCTAAGTAGAATTATTGAGTGACAGTTCAGTTCAGTCACTCAGTCATGTCTGACTCCTTGCGATCCCATGGACTGCAGCACGCCAGGCCTCCCTGTCCATCACCAACTCCTAGAGTTTACCCAAACTCATCTCCATTGTGTCAGTGATGCCATCCAACCATCTCATCCTTGGTCGTCCCCTTCTCCCATCTTCAATCTTTCCCAGCATCAGGGCCTTTTCCAATGAGTCAGCTCTTCGCATCAGGTGGCCAAAGTATTGGAGTTTCAGCTTTAACATCAGTCCTTCCAGTGAAGACTCAGGACTGATCTCCTTTGGGATGGACTGGTTGAATCTCCTTGCACTCCAAGGGACTCTCAAGAGTCTTCTCTAACACCACAGTTCAAAAGCATCAATTCTTCAGCGCTCAGCTTTCTTTATGGTCCAACTCTCACATCCATACGTGACTTCTGGAAAAACCATAGCCTTGACTAGACAGACCTTTGTTGGCAAAGTAATGTCTAGGTTGGTCATAACTTTGCTTCCAAGTGGCAACCATCTTTTAATTTCATGGCTGCAATCACCATCTGCAGTGGTTTTGGAGCCCCAAAAAATAAAGTCTGCCACCGTTTCTACTGTTTCCCCATCTATTTGCCATGAAGTGATGGAACCAGATGCTGTGATCTTATTTTTCTGAATGTTGAGTTTTAAGCCAACTCTTTTACTCTCCTCTCAGTTTCATCAAGAGGCTCTTTAGTTCTTCTTCACTTTCTGCCATAAGGGTGGTGTCATCTGCATACCTGAGATTATTGATATTTCTCCCGGCAGTCTTGATTCCAGTTTGTGCTTCTTCCAGCCCAGCGTTTCTCATGATGTACTCTGCATATAAGTTAGATAAGTAGGGTGACAATATATAGCCTTGACATACTCCTTTTCCTATTTGGAACCAATCTGTTGTTCCATGTCCAGTTCTAACTGTTGCTTCTTGACCTGCATACAGATTTCTCAAGAGACAAGTCAGATGGTCTGGTATTCCCATCTCTTTCAGAATTTTCCAGTTTGTTGTGATTCACACAGTTAAAGGCTTTGGTGTAGTCATTAAAGCAGAAATAGATGTTTTCCTGGAATTCTCTTACTTTTTCTATGATCCAACAGATGTTAGCAATTTGATTTCTGGTTCCTCTGCCTTTTCTAAAACCAGCTTGAACATCTGGAAGTTTACGATTCACGTATTGTTGAAGCCTAGCTTGGAGAATTTTGAGCATTACTTTGCTAGCATGTGAGATGAGTGCAATTGTGCAGTAGTTTGAGCATTCTTTGGCATTGCCTTTCTTAGGGATTGGAATGAAAAGTGACCTTTTCCAGTCCTGTGGCCACTGCTGAGTTTTCCAAATTTGCTGGCATATTGAGTGCAGCACTTTCACAGCATCATCTTTCAGGATTTTAAATAGCTCAACTGGAGAGTATGTGCATTTATAATTTTGAGAGATGATGCCAAGAGATTTACTATTATCTGCAATAATAAGTAACCTTAATTGCACATATATATGCATGTGTTAACTCTTTTAATCTTTAACAAGACCCTAAAAAGTAGTTCTATTTAGAGAAGAAAAAACTGAGGCACAGAAAGGTTAACTCGCTTTGACCAGTAGGTGGCAGAGCCAGGGTCCCTTCACAAAGTTTTTTAGAGCAGAACCTGCTGGTCTTCCCTGATAGCTCAGATGGTAAAGAATCTGCCTGCAATGCAGGAGACCTGGGTTCAGTCCCTGAGTTGGGAAGATCCCCTGGAGAAGGCAGTGGCAACCCACTCCAGTTATTCTTGCCTGGAGCATTCTGTGGACATAAGAGTTTAGCAGGCTATATGGTCCATGGGATCGCAGAGTTGGATGTGACTAAGTGACTAACACTACTAGTTGGCCTTCACATTTTGAGCTCTAAATCACTTTGTTCTATGATATGATGCCAAATTGCCCTTCATAGCAAGTGGACTAATTTAGTATTCCAGTAATGTATGGGCTTCCCAGGTGGCTCAGGTGGTAAAGTGTCTGCCTGCAGTGTTGGAGACCCAGGTTCAATCCCTGGGTCAGGAAAATCCCCTGGAGAAGGAAATGGCAACCCACTCTAGTCCTGTTGCCTAGAAAATTCTATGGACGGAGGAGCCTGGTAGGCTCCTTTGTTGGCAAAGTAATGTCTAGGTTGGTCATAACTTTGCTTCCAAGTGGCAACCATCTTTTAATTTCATGGCTGCAATCACCATCTGCAGTGATTTTGGAGCCCTCCACCCTGCCCATCAGGGGCTCGCCCTGCTCCCCGCGGCCGGAGATGGGGCTAGCCAGCGACTTCACTTTCGGTAATGTATAAGAGGAACTTGTGTCCTGACTCTAAAATAATTCCAAAAATAATGGTAAGAGAAGAACAGCAGGACATAGCCTAGACTTGGCACAGTGTGAATCAGGTTGTTTGCTTTTGAGATTTCTATGCAGTCCTTCAAACGTGGGATGGGAAGATAGGTGAGTTTTGAGAGTGACTGGGAAAAGTAGCATCCTGTTTTAACTTCTGCACTAATTTTTTCAGACCCCTCTTCAGTGAATGAAAAGAAGAGGAGGGATAGAGAAGAAAGACAGAATATTGTCCTGTGGAGACAGCCACTCATTACCTTGCAGTATTTTTCTCTGGAAACCCTAGTAATCTTGAAGGAATGGACCTCAAAGTAAGGAGTCTTCCATTAACTTTTATATAAACTATTTTTTACTAATTCTAGAAGTCTTCAGCAATCTCCTATTCCTGCCACCTGCTCTATCAAAATGGATTAATTAAATTTAGAATGTTACAGGAACATATTTATTTTCCTCTTTATATGTAGTTTGAAGAAAAATAGATTAGGAAACCTTACTGCTATTTGTTCACTGGATTATTAGAGTTAACCATTGTCTCCTATTGAATCTTTTATGCAAAGAAGAACCCTGAAAATGAAAAGTTTTTTTTCTGGCTTTACCTTCAGGAACAATCAGGCCTGTGTACGTTAGATACACTGATTCTTTAGCAGGTCAGGGTTCAGGATACGTGGCACTACTGATAGTTTGATCCAATGAAAAGGACTCTGCCATGGAGATTGTGTTCTATCTTTAAATTAGTACTTATAAGCCCTGTTTCTGATATCATAAAGAGCAAGTTGAACTTTTAATTGCCTTAATCATTTTCTGGTTTACCTTTCCAAGATATCTGTAATAATTACATTTTTATTGTACTTCCAGTTTATAAAGTATTTTGTAACACTTTTTAGTTCATTTGATCCTTCTAGCAATTCTGTGAAGAAGGTAAAATAAGAATATGATCATTATGATTTTAAAAACAAGGAACAGAATCAGATTAGTTGAGTGTCTTACTCTAAGTGCAATACTTCAGAGACTCTGATCCAAGTCCTCTGACTAAAGGCTAATGCCCTATCCAGTATATACTTTTTCAAATTCGTTTCTAGTTGGAGGATAATAGCTTTACAGTGTTGTGTTGGTTTCTGCCATACAACAGCATGAATCCGCTAGAGGTATACATATATCCTCTTTGTCCTGTCCCACTTAGAGGTTGGAGTATAAACAATAATTTGGGGGTATGAGGAGGGCTGCAGTGGGGTCTGCAGTAAGAAATTAGATTCTGTACCCATGTATCTTATTTATTCTCTTCTGTACATCAAGAGACTGTAGTCTTTAAGAACAAAAGAGCTCAGTCCACCAAGAACCACTTCTAAGCCTGAGCTAAAAAAACTTCATTGTTTAAATGAGAAATGTCTTGAGAGTGATGAATCCTAAAAATGAGACTGTGATGTATCTCATTTTTTTGTTTTGCTTTTAAGATTATGGCATCGTCAAAGCATTGTGGTGTCTTTTTTACTGCTGCTTGCTGTGCTTACAGCTACGTATTATGTTGAAGGAGCACATCAACAGGTAAGAGGTCCAGCACTATTCTTGTTCCTTCCCTGATCCTAGGCGGTTTCAGAATGGAACTGTTTTGGGTTTTGTTGTGGGTTTTGTTGATTTTTTTTAAAAAATTTATATCATAAGTGGTCTCTTAATGTCTTATTTTTAAGGCCAAATATTAAAAATATTCTTGTGGTAGTTCATGGCTGCTTAGTATTTACATTTGGTATATATCATTACTTTTTACCTTTAAGGATTTAAATGTAACTTTCCAGGCAATATTTAGTCAAAGCAGCATGAATTCTTTAATCACTACCAGAGTCTTCATATTTTCTATACTGTGACCTATCAAAGCTCATATTATCATCCTAGATTGAAAGTTCGGTTTTATATGTATAAAGTGGGGGGAAGTTCACTTGCCTGTTGTCTGTATGTACAGCATAAATGAAGGGAAAATAGGACATTTTGATAATAACTTTTGTTAAAATAGCAAAATATTCATGTATTCTGGTAGGAAATAGTTCTAAAATGGTACCATTTCACATGTTAGAGCAGTTTACCTCTATATTCATCAAAATGCCAATGGTGATTATCTTTGGTAGGGTGGAGATTATGGGCGATAGTTGTTTTTTACTTTATGTATTTCTACTTGTCTGTAATAAACATACATTGCTTATAAAATTAGGAAACAATAAATGGCATTAAAAGGAGTGGGGTGAAGCAGTTTGCTTCTAATCAGAGAAGTTTTTATACATATAAGTGCAGGTTTTAAATATATTTTAAAGAAATCTGTGTGTGCTATTAAGAGTTTCCAGGGAACCGGCTTGATGGATTTACTGTCCAATATGAGCATCTAAACTCTGGAAATCTTCCAAGTCTGTATCCCAGTGGGCTGCAGTTTGCTTTTGCTTGTAAAGCATCTTGGTCTTAAATATATAAAAATAATTTTATGTACATTTTTTTACTAGGATCAACAAGAATAAGTTCTGGTTCCAAATATTATATAAATAACCACCCGTCTCTTACCACTGTATATTATCATGCTTTTTTAAACAAAATTTGTGAAACTTTTAAGTGTCTTTAAAATTTTTATTCTCACAGTTATCAGCAATTTGCATATTTCCTACAAATGTCATTGTAATAGTAGGACTTTTAAAATGTAGAAATGAGCTTTATTCCAATCACATGATTTTTTTTTTTTGGTCATCTCTGCTACCACATGTTAGAGGAATTAGGTCTCTTTAAGGAGCCTTCAGTCTTAATACTCTTCCTATTGGAAACTTAAGTTTTTTGTTTTTTTTTTAATTGTAGTTGATAAATACATTTCTGCTTAAGAATTCTGATTTTGTTTTTTATCACCTTATCGCTTTTGTTTTTCAGTATGTGCAACGTATAGAGAAACAGTTTCTTTTGTATGCCTACTGGATAGGCTTAGGAATTTTGTCTTCTGTTGGGCTTGGAACAGGGCTGCACACCTTTCTGCTTTATCTGGTAAGATTATCTTTTAATAATCAACATTGAAAGAGATTATGTTTTAATTTGTGCTTACACTACAGAAGTTAAAATTCTAAGGTTTTTATTTGAATATCTTTGTGTTTTATATTTCTTTGAGCCCCTTTTTTGGGGGGGGGTGGGCAAGAATACTGGAGTGGGTTGCCATTCCCTTCTCCAGGAGATCTTCCCGACCCAGGAATCGAACCCGGGTCTCCTGCACTGTAGGCAGACGCTTTACCATCTGAGCCCCAATCAGTGCTTTAGGTTTGATTCGGAACTCTGTTTTGGTTTTCCTTTTGAGTTGAGAATTTAAAAAGAGAAGGGAGGGGACAAGCCTTAGGCAAATGAGATTGTTTACTTATATTAATTCAGCCAGGAAACATCTTTTCTGTTGGCGATTTTGGAATACTGTTTCTCTTGCTTGTGCAGTTACATTGTAATAGTTGAAGTTATTTAGTTGTAGGAAATTCCATGTAAGGGTTAGAAGTGACTTGGACAGTAACTTTCTGTGTTAATAGCAAATGAGAAATGGTGTCTTCCCTCACATTCTCAGATAACTGTGTACACAACTGGGTAGTTATTTTGGTATTCTTATTGAATGCAATTAATGAAGTATTATGTGTGTAGAACTGATGCTTTCTTAAACTCTTTTAAGTTAAAATATAAAATGTACCCTTCCTAAAAAAATATACATTTAATAATGGCAGAGCTAAGACTGGGGGTGACAAGCCTGACATTGAGGGCACATAATTTATATAGTTACTTTTAGGGTCATAGAAATGTAGGGCTCATGAGTGAAGGCCTCATTAAATTTGTGCCCTGGATGTTTCTCTTGTTTCACTCTCTTCCTGTCTCTGAATAATGTATTGAAAACAATTTCATATTTGAAAACAGCTTGCTCTTGATGGAGAAGACAGGTGAGAAGTTGTCATAGCAGTGCTGATGGCTGAATAGAGCTCAGCAGTGCAAACACTTCCAATCTCTATGCTTCAGTGAATTCATTTCTGAAGCAAGTATGATAAATATTAGGAAATGAGTATTCAGAAGACTGCTTAACTAGTGGTCTGAAGCCTAAGAATTAATCCATAATATATAAGTTCTGTGAGTTTATGGGAATTTTAAAACATGATATTTTAGAATTCTGTTCATGACTGCTTGTCAGTTTTAACCCAGATAGAAACATAAATCCTAGATAAGTGATCATATCAGTGTTTCTTTAATTATTCTAGAAATATAATGCTATACTAGAGGTTGAGGCAGAGGAGGAAAGAAGAAAATACCAGTTACCTTTCTATTCTTTTCTAGACCTGTCCTCTTAGATTCCTTGGGAAGAACAGATTAAAGAACTCATTAGTTGCATTTGATTAATTTGGAAGTATTTATAAAGCAACCCAACTAGCAGATTCTATTGAATCTTAAAAGGGATTCTAACGAAGCTTATAAATCCCATAATAAGTAAGAGTAAGAAAAATTTGAAACTTAGAAGTTTCACGTTTTCTGTTTCTTTTCATATCCTTGAGAAACTTTTATAAAATGACATTTATAAACTGTCTTGTTGTGAAAACACATTATTTTAGTTCCATTGATTCATGTAACCAGTAAAGGATTTAAAACATACAAATAAACATTTATTACAACATGTATTTGAGTGAAAAGTCAAATCTTTGTTTCTGTAAACTGAGTAGTTATTTCTGCCCTTGATCACAGTGCAGGATTAAGGGAATGTAGTTAAATTTTTTCCACAAGTTTAGAAGGAATTCTGCAAAAACTGTTTGAAGGGAAGTATCACTCTCTCATTACTCTCAGTGCCATGTATATTATTTCTAGTGAAGCAACGTGAAGATAAATTCAAGGAACATCTGGAACTGTTTTGCGTTATACATAAAAACCATATAAAAACATTGTGGCATTACCATTGCTGGTAATAAACTAGCATCCAGATGGATCAGACCATGTTTTTCAGCATTAGATTAATTTGATTTTTGTTATTTGTCAATAGCATTTAGAGTTACTTTTAAGTGCCCTAAAAGCAAAATAACCAGATCTGCATTTTTGTTGTTCAGTCGCTCAGTCACATCTGACTCTTTGCGATTCCATGAACGGCAGCACACCAGGCTTCCCTTTCTTCATTATCTCCCAGAGTTTGCTCAGACTCATGTCCATTAAGTTAGTGATGTCATCCAACTGTCTCATCCTCTGTCGCCCCCTTCTCCTTCTGCCCTCAATCTTTCACAGCATCAGGGTCTCTTCCAATGAGAAAGCTCTTCACATCATGTGGCTGAAGTATTGAAACTTCAGCTTTAGTATTAGTCATTCCAATGAATAATCAGGGTTTATTTCCCTTAGGATTGACTGGTTGAATCTCCTTGCAGTCCAAGGGACTCTGAAGAGTCTTCTCCAACACCACAGCCCAAGAGCATCAATTCTTCAGTGCTCAACCTTCTTTATGGTCCAACTCACATCCATACATGACTACTGGAAAAACCACAGCTTTGACTGTACGGAGCTTTGTTGGCAAAGTGATGTCTCTGCTTTTTAATACACTGTCTAGGTTTGTCATAGCTTTTCTTCCAAGGAGCCAGCGTCTTTTAATTTCATGGCTGCAGTCACTGTCCACAGTGATTTTGGAGCCCAAGTAAAGAAAGTCTGTCACTGTTTCCATTGTTTCCCCATCTGTTTGCCATGAAGTAATGGGACTGGATGCCATGCTCTTCATTTTTTTAATGCTGAGTTTTAAGGCAGAGTTTTCACTCCTTTTTCACTTTCACCAAGGGCTCTTTAGTTCCTCTTCGCTTTCTGCTATTAGGGTGGGGTCGTCTGCATATACGAGGTTGTTGATATTTCTTCTAGCAATCTTGATTCCAGCTTGTGCTTCACCCAGCCTGGAATTTCTCATGATGTACTCTTCATAGAAGTAAAATTAAGCAGGGTAACAGTGTACAGCCTTGTCCCAGTTTTGAACCAGTCCATTGCTCCGTGTACAGTTCTGTTACTTCTTGACCTGCATACAGGTTTCTCAAGAGGCAGGTAAGGTGGGCTGGTATTCCCATCTCTAAGAATTTTCCACAGTTTGTTATGATCCACACATTGAAGGCTTTGGCTGTGATGCACATAGTCAAAGGCTTTTGCGTAGTCAATGAAGCAGAAGTAGATGGTTTTCTGGAATTCCCTTGTTTTTTCTATGATCCAACAGATGTTGGCAATTGGATCTCCGGCCTCTCTGCCTTTCCAGCTTGTACATCTGGAAGTTCTTGGTTCATGTACTGTTGAAGCCTAGCTTGAAAAATTTTGAGCATTACCTTGCTAGCATGTGAAAATAGCAATTAAGTGGTAGTTTGAACATTCTTTGGCGTTGCCTTTCTTTGGGATTGGAATGAAAACTGACCTTTTCCATTTCTGTGGCGACTGTTGAGTTTTCCAAATTTGCTGTCATATTGAGTGCAACACTTCAACAGCATTATCTTTTAGGGTTTTGACTAGCTCAGCTGGAATTCCATCATTTCCACTAGCTTTGTTCATAGTAAAGCTTCCTAAGTTCCACTTCACTTCACACTCCAGGATATCTGGTGTGACCACACCTTCATGATTAATCTTGATCATTAAAACCGTTTTTGTACAGTTGAGGAGCCAATATTGATGCATTACTAACTAAAGCCAATTGTTTATGTTAGAGTTCACTCTGTGTTTTATATAGTTTTATAGGTTTTGGCAAGACCTTAATGTTATGCATTCTCCATTACAGTATCACAGAACAGCTTCACTCTCCTAAAAATACCCTGTGCTATACCTGGTTATTTCTCCCCTTCTCATTCTCCCTACTCACAGACAGACCCTAAGAAAACACTAATCTCTTACTCTCTGTAAGTTTTGATTTTGTTCGTATAGTTGGGATTATACAGTATAAGTCTTCTTCTGCTTGACTTCTTTCACTTAGCAATATGGATGAAAAGTTCCTCCATTGTCTTCATGGCTTGATACCTCAGTTCTTTATTTTTTGGGGGGCCATGCCCCACTTCATGTGGGATCTTAATTCCCCAACCAAGGATCAAACCCACACCCACTGCATTGGAAGCACAAAGTCCCCTGGATCACTGGGAAGTGCCAATATCTCTTTTTTTTTTTTAATTCCCAAATAATATTCCATTTCGTGGGTGTACCACCACAATTTTTATCCATTCATGCATTGAAGATCATCATGGTTATTTCCAGGTTATAACCATTATGAATAAAGCTGCTATAAATATTCATGTGCAGAGTTTTGGATATATATATATATATATATAAATACAGCTCATTTGGGTAAGTGCCTAGGGACATGATCTATAGATCATGTATATTAATTGGTGATACATAGGAAAGTAATCAACTTTTGTATATTAACCTTGTATTGTGCAACCTTAGTAGTTTCAGGACTTTGTTGATTCTTTAGGATTTTCTATGTAAGATAATCATGTCATCTGCAAATAGTTTTGTTTTTTTTCCTTCTCAATCTGTGTACCCTTTCATTTTTCCCCCTTGTCTTTAATTGCATCAGCTCCATCTGATGTTGAATTGGAGTGGTGGCAAGGAAATCCCCTTGTTCCCAGCCTTAGCGAGGGAGCCTCTAGTCTCTCACCATGAAGCTATATATCATGTTAGCTACAGGTTTTTGTTGGTGTTCTTTATCAAGTTGATGAAACTCACTTCTGTTCTAGTTTGTTGTGAGTTGTGTGTGTGTGTTTGAGAGGTGTTTTTGTTTTTTTTTTATCATGAATCAGTGAGGATTTGGTCAGAAGAACACTTTTTTAGATAGTAGTGATCAAAAATGGATGAAAGGTCAATATAGCAAACAAATTCAGAATGCGAAATCTTGAAGAGCAATATATTAATGTTAGAAATATAAAGAGGTACCCAGAATATGCCATTTCAATTTGACCAGATTATCTTTAGTTCTTAAATTTGTTAGTTCTTAAACACAGAATTCCTTCCAGAATTCCTTAGGTTTAATAGGGAAAATG